AAATATTATGTATTTAAAATTAAATTTCTTTATTAAATTAAAATTTTTTTCTACTTATTATTTAAATTTAATATTATATAGATAACCCTTGAAGCACCATGGTTCCTTCCAGCTCTACAAAGAGCATATCAATCATATGCCCATAAGCAAATTCCTCATTCACACTCATTCCTTGAGGTGTTTCCTCTGCAATCCTAAAACCTTCATTGAAGAACCCCTCTCTACACAAAGAATCAATGAGATTGGCAAAGACCACAGTGTTCAAACTGGGATCATTTTCGTCCTTCATTCTCTCCCAAAGCTTGCGCATCAACTCCCTCCCATATTCAACATCTCGCCTTCTAAACACCCAACGAATCAACACACTATAAGCGAGCGAATTGGGCACCACACCACACTCATGCATTTCATCAAGCAGCTTGTGCGCAGTGCCCAAGTCACCAATTTTACAGTACCCATTTATCAAAGTAGTATACGTAACAGCATTAGGACAATGACCCCTGTTCGTCATATCAAAAAACAATCTATGCGCCACATTTACAGAATAAACCGTACAAAACTGGTTGATCAAACGATTATAGCGAATCAAAGAAGGCACAAACTCGGGCTTTACATCAAGTAGAGACTGTATAACATGAAATGTGCTCTGTGGGGTTCTGGAATCTAGTAACCGAGCAATTATTACATTACAGGTGCGCTCATCGAGGGCTAAACCAAAAGCTAAGGACAGAAGAAAACGATGGTGAGCTTCTAGGAATTGGTTGGGGTTGCAAAAGGCGTGAATAATGCTACTGAGATTAAGGGAAGCCGGGAGGTAGCCATGTAGGCAGAGGAAGTCGAGGAGGCGAAGGGCTTCTTCGACGTTGTGGTGTATGGTGCATAGATTGTGGATCCTCTTGGTTGAAAATAAAGAAGTCAAGAACCCAGAAAAAATGGAAATATTTGAAAATACTGTCATGGAACTAAGGAAGGTGAAAATGAAATTTCCAATTATTTATACCACAAATTCTTTGGATAAAAGTTTAAAATTAATCCCAACATATTGGGCCAAACACTATGGATCAGTAGTTTAGGCTAATTAGCCCAATATGCTTTTGGACTGCATACCAGCCCAATTTTTTAAGCGTTAAATTAAAGTTATTAAACAGTTTCTCTTTTTTTTTTTTTTACAAGGTAATAGTTAGAAGTTAGTATGAATTAGTTGTTAATAACTGAGGATTTGATTCCCAGATTGGGTGAACATTTCAACCCCTCAAATGAGATGCGTGGCCATGCCACTTTTTGATAAAATTCACAACGATGATAGAGTTCGAAATTTTGACCACTATCTCGTCCAAACACTTAATGCCTGATATGAACCATTGAACCCAAAAGAGTTATTAAACAGTTTTTCATTTAAACAAAAGCAAATATAAAAAATTACATGTCGAATGAATTATATATTAAAATATTAAAAAATATTAAATATATAATTTTTTAATAAATTTATTAAATTTTCCCTAATAAAAACTTTTTTTTCATATTATTTTATTTAAAACATTTTAATATATTTATTCTGTAGTACAAACGCAATCCGCACGATATAACATAAAATCCCAAACAAATAAATACTCTTCCAAAAAAAAGAAAAAAGGACCAGAAGTTTCCAGACGTAATCAATCTCTACAGCCGCCTCCTCCATCGCGATTCCGTCAAAATTGCAAAACCAGCGGTACTTGTAATTGATTTGTGGCCAACTTCGCTCTCTGTCGCATTTGATTCGGTTAGGGTTTCTACTCGTTCTTGATCCGTTTCCATGGCCTCCAGTTCGAACAGATCCGCTGGTGGCTCCTTTTACGGTGGCGCCGCTCCTTACCGATCAAGGTTTTTATTTTTATTTTTTTGGCCACCTTTTATTTGTTCCTTTTGCATGATGTTTTGATCAATCAGTCTACGATCAAATAAACGCAGAAAAATGAATTTGAATTTCTGTCAATCATGGAAATTAGTATCAATTAAGGTTGATGTTTATGCAGAGAGGGACTTAGCACGAGACCGGTTGCTGGCTCGGATGAAATTCAGTTGCGGATTGATCCGATGCACGGTGATTTGGACGATGAGATCACTGGTCTCCGGAGCCAAGTTAGACAATTGAGAAATGTAAGGCCATTCCGACCTGGTCTCGTTAGTTTGTCTCTTTTATCTTTCATGCTAAGTCTTTTCAGCTTGTTTTAGTCAATAATTATTGTGGTGTTGGTAATTTTAGCTGGCTAAATCAGGTGGTTAATGTTCTATGGGAAAATTAAAGTTATATATTCAAATCGCGAAGGATGCATATATGAGCTCTTGTGGTTCCTCTTTGTGTTACAATGATAATACAGAAAAGTAAAAATTAGGAGGTCTAGGCATTAAGAATATTAGAATGTTCAATCCCAATCATGTAATAAATGGGACTTAGGTGGAACTTACATTATGTCTCACTTATCATGTGGTTTTGATTTGATTTCTTGATATTTTTTAATGCTCTGCATCCTCATGATAATAGAAGAAAATTTAGTTGTTACTAAAATGTGATTGATCAAAGAATCAGGTCTTATGGGATGGGGTGGTAAGGAAAAAATTAAAGATTGTCCATATTCTTCTTTAGTGAACTTCTCATTTTGGAACATATAAGCATGTGTCCATATGCATTTTCCTGCTTATTATTATTATTATTTCTAACCTCATCTCATTTTAACAATGGTGGTACAGGTTGCTCATGAGATTGGCTCAGAAGCAAAGTTTCAGAAGGATTTTCTTGAGCAGCTGGTACTTTATTACTGCATTTGTGCATCTTTGGTTTACTTAACTGTCTTTTTGATTTCTTGCTTGTGAAATCGTAGCTATGGAGGATGTCATGCTTCTATCACAACAATACAAACGGTTTACCTAAAAATTTGAAAAATGGTTGACAAGTAATGCTGTGCAAGGGGTAAATAAAATTTCTTTACCATCATATATGAAATTCATTTTGGTAGATGTATGATATGCTGCTAAGGGGGGGAGGGGAACCTTGGAGAGGGTTATAATATAAAATTTTTTACTTTTGAAAAGTCGAGACATTGATGAGTTCTTGCAGACTCAGCTTGGACAAATATGTTTTTGTAAATTTCTTTTGTGTGAAGATGTGTGTGAAACTCTCTTTCATTACTTAATTACCACTTTCCCCACAGGTTTTGTATGGCGTGAAAACATCTTCAGATATTGTTAATTACTTAATTTATGTTAGTACTGTACAAACACTCTGCTAGCATGCTCACCTAGTGGACCAAATCTATATGGTATTCAATGTGTCAAACTAGTATTTTTAACATCTTGAGTGCTTTTCTGTTATTTTGTTTTTGAAACATACTTTGACTACTATATTAAAGTTCATTATTTGTAGTTGTAGTACATACTGAAAGCTCAGTTATATTTGATTACAGCAAATGATCATGATCAAAGCTCAAGCAGGGGTGAAGAACAACATTAGGAAATTGAACAAGAGCATAATCAAGAATGGTTCAAACCATATTGTTCATGTGGTTCTTTTTGCACTGCTATGCTTCTTTCTTGTCTACATGTGGTCCAAATTGTTCAGATGAGGTTGCGGTTGCGGTTGCGGTTGCTGCTGAACATATCACTGCAGATAAACCTGTTGGTTGATTGAGGATTCAAGAAGGTGTTTCATTGGCTTAAGCAATTTCAACCCAGGTTCTTGTGTAAAGGCTGCATGACTTGTTCTTTGAGAATCATGGTTCCGATCTTTTGTTTCTTCTTTTTCATAATGTTTGTAGTCAAGATACTAGTTTTTCAAGAATGATCAAATTTAAAAGCCTCGTTTACATTCTAGAATTTTACATTTCATTTACCGGCCTTTCTAAATGGTAAATCAATAGCACGCCAGCATAAACAAGTATTTTTCTGGTCTCGTTGCTTTGAAACCAACTTCATATTTGATTCCCATCTCGTTCCAGCTAATCCTGAAAGGGCCGTCATTGCCCCTCCAGGAGTCAAATCTAAAACGATTCATATCTTCCCTGACCCCCCGTATAAAGTAGGTGAGTAATCCAAATAGTATCAAATGCTCTGTTAATTTGAATAAAAAAAATTTGATTTCTCTTAAGTAAGATTTTGAGTTTAAATATTATGAATGAAGAAAGATTTCGAGTTTAAATATTATGAATGAAGAAATAGGTGTTAAGAGAATTTCTCTTTTTATGAAACCTAAGATGACTTGATTTTGAATTAGTGGAAAGTTAATATAATTATTAAATACTGAGAAATGAATAAAACAACAAAAAACCAAAACAGGTTTATGTAAAGATTCAAGAAGTAGGAAATCACGCCTGCTCTTATTTCGCTCATGTCCACAGCATCAAAGCAATGCAACTCAGAGAACACTCACCTGTCCCTCTACAGCCAAGGGAAAACATCACGTTTCTTCAGGAACGACATATCTATGCCGGAGAAAATTGTAATTTCACTCTATCATGGGAGGCAACAATATATGATACTAACGTGCATTAAAACACTCTTATTTACAAAAAATCTCTGTACATGAATTCTGCCAAGTCATTCGGCTCAAAAGAATTATTTAGTTAACAAAGCCGCAGAAGTCAAACCCATAAAGAGCTGTTCTTCTCTTGTAAGCATCATATCTGCCCACTCCACATATAATTGCACCGGGGCCAGTTAATTCCAAATCCCCAGCTCAAAAAACATTGGAGATAATCATGTTAACGGTGTCAGTTCATCAGCAGGATCAAAATGCTCTACAGAGATGATTGTTAGCTGTCAAGTTAACTGAATGTTGCTTCTCTCTTGGTCCTGCAGGACTACAGAGTCTGCTTCTCTTAGGTTCTGAAATCCTCACATGTGAAATTGCCACAGCAAGTGTATCCACCAATTCGTTTTCATCTTGTTCCTCAGACTTACAGCTAGAATTATCAGATGTTAATAGTGGAGGGCCACCAGGGACCCTGATTATTTTTGACTCTGTTCCAGGTGAGATGAGAAGTTGTTGGGAAGGTCCGACTACCTGGTTCTTTGATTTTGATTTGATGGATAGTGTCTTTAATGTGCGCTCTGTGTAAAATAATATCCATGGATGCCCTGTAATAAAACCATTTAAATGTTAACAATTAGTGACCAACACATAATTTGAATAGAAAAGAACTTATAAATTGAATAAAGAGATAACGAAGAGAATTGTTAATAACTACACATAAATTGCAAAGACAAAAGATCACAAAATCCCCAAGATAATAGCTAAATCCAAATCTTTTTACCCAAAAAATTTCTGAAGTGAGTAAGATCTCATGGCAGTTCAATGAGTTTCTAGTGCAAAAGTATAGCATAATTAGTAAGCATTTCATGTATTTCATGGCAATTTAATGAACTTAATAAGCATTCTCCATAAAAAGAGAGCATCAGAGGCTTACTTAGCACTTCCTCTGCAGTTATCCTTGCTGAAACATCCCTTGTCAGCATTCTTGATATCAGATCACGTGCAGGTTTAGATATTGACTCCCATATCCCAGTGTGGAAATCAAGCTTTATATTCTTGATTGCCTCAAACACCGCATTTAAAGATTCACCTTGAAATGGAAGAACACCAACCAAGAGAGCATGAAGCAATACACCGGCACTCCATATATCAACCTTCTCAGAATAATTCCCTGAAAGGACTTCAGGTGCAACATAAGCTGGACTTCCAGCCAAACCAGACAAAGTCTGACCTGCATTAATTATGACATTCAAAACCATTAGGCAAACTTAGCAAAAGACACAAATTGATGCTGAAGGAAAAAGGAAAGGAAGGAAAATGACATAAATGGAAAATAAATATAAAGCCCTTAAAAGCAAGCACTGGATACTCACCATCGGAAATTCTCATGGCCAGTCCAAAATCTGCCAGCTTTATCTTTCCTGAAGTTGTAAGGAGAATATTCTCAGGCTTTATATCTCTGTGTACGACTCCCATATCATGACAATACTTAACAACTAACATCAAATCCTTGAAAATATTAGCCACACGTTGCTCAGAGAAACGATCCTCCATCATTTGGTCAATCAATCGTCCTCCAGAGCACAATTCCATAACAAGATGAAAACGATCCGGCTCCTCATACACTGCCTGTAGAGTCACAATCCCTGGATGACCTGATAAGTGCTGCATTATCTCCACCTCCTTATGAACTGTCTCCTCTCCCTTTTGCAAAGTTTTGCAGGCAAATTCCACACCAGTACTCTTGGACCAACACAACCACACTGACCCAAATTTCCCCTGCCCAATGGTGTCACCCTTAACATAGTCATCCTCAATCTTGTTCTTCCTACCTGTTTGTGTAATTACATCTATGCACCCTATCTTTCTCTTAAGGCCTCTTCCAGGTGGCACCAAAGATGAGGCACCACAAGGTGGAGCAGTAGCAATCCCTGCAAGTCTACTCTTACAAGACCCAATAGGTTGGGTAACCACATCTTCTTTGCACTTCTTTTTTATCCTTGCATAGTCTTCTAGAGAATAATGAGACCTAAGATTAGACGATCTTAATTCACGGGATGATGTAAAATTGCATAACACCTCAGGAGAAGCATCAGTTTCACTTCCTTTCCTCTTCTTCCTCATCGAACCAAAGATCAACACCGCTACTTGAATACACCCAAATTACATTAAAGGCCCATACATTGCAGCAGCAGATCAACAAAATATCTGATCTTGTTATACAAAACCCTACTGAATCCTTTTCCTGCAATGAGAATTAGAGTGATCCATCACCAACAGAAACCTATAATCCAATGAGAAATGGTAGACAAAATAACTGACCTTTCAATGCTACTGAAACTTTCTAACAAAAACTGAACGGAAACCTAAAATCACCAAGCTAAAATAATGTTGTATAACACAATTAAGTAGATTTTCCATTTTGAGAAAAAATTAAGTGGATATTTTAGTTCTAACTATCTTGTCTTACTGAAAAAGCAAAACTTTCTACAAATCCCACTAACAAAAATCGAACATAATGAACGATCATGGAAACCAAACAGAACCCAGATCAAGACCCTTAACTTCATTTTACACTAATTCTCAAAAAACATAATACATGGATTAAAAAAAAAAAAAAAAAACTTTAAGGCAAAGAACTAACCTCTACACTCCGGTGAAAACGACCGGACTTCTTACACAGCAACTGAACAGAATATAAAAGCAAAACCCAGCGGAGATACGAAATAGACGAGATGGATCGAACCCTAGAAATCTCCGATTGAAGGTATTCTGGGGGAGGTGATATCCTCCCAAAATGAATTACCTTTATCGGAGATTGACGGAACGGGAGAAAGAGAGAAAGAGAGAAAGAGAGAGAGAGAGAGGGGGTCTTGACTCTTGGGTTTTACCGTTTTGGTGACTCGACGCTTTCGTATTTTCCGATAAGCCACCTGTCTAGTTTTCTATCGTCGGGTTTCATACAATATGAAATTTGTTATATAATTACTCTTTTTTATTTA